ACACGACGGAAAAAGGAGGCCGCCGGCCCAGAAGAAAATTGAGAAAAGGAGGTGGTAGACTTGATTAATTTTCTTTTGAGCAAATATATTAATATAATCAACTAAAATTTCTCATTAATTGAAAATCTAAAAGCTGAACATTAATTACTAATTATATTGGCACAAAAATCCAAGCACTAATCAAAATCATGCATGCAATCTAGTAATTAAACCCCTCAAACTGACTCAGGCCCTGCAAATGCCCAATTCCTCCATTAAACCTTATCGCTTGATGATCATCATGATGATCATGATCTAGTACTGCTTGCTTATTGTTCTGCTCATGAAGATTCACCACACCTTGCACTTTCTCATGTTCATGAAAGTTACTCAAATTCCCTGGCCTCTTTGATCGCCCATTTATCCCCAAGAAGTCAACGGTCAACACATCTCCACCACCACCACTAGCCAATCCCATATTGTCACAACTCTCACCATGCAAAACGACGTCGTTACCATTCACAAAATTACCATGGTTGTTGTGACCATTATCAAATATTAGGCCACTAAAAACACCAAGACTATTACTACTATTATTGTTGAATCCTTGACCATATTGACGATGATCATCCAAACCAAAGCTCGACGGCGCCAATGCCGAGCTCGCGGTGCTGACGGTGGACCCCATCTGCGCCGCCTTCTGGAGCAGCGCTGTGGCCGACATATAACCGTTGTGACCATTTTGACTATATTCCAATTGATGAAGGTGATGATGATCTGGGGTGAGTGGATTTTTCATGATCAAATGACTGGGAATAATGTTGCCGTTGTGCTTGCTTAGTACTTGATGATCATGTTCTGATGCTTGATCTGTTGGTGCAATATTGTTGGCGTGGTACTTATTGTTGTCGTTGTCGTTTGTGGGAGGCATATTAATAATATTGCTGCTATTTATGAGTGAAGAAATGAGCTCTCGGCTGGAGATTTGAGTTTGTAAATTTGGATGTCGTCCCTGCATGTTGGAGGGAACTGGTCCCAGCTGCTGTGCTGTCGTTTTGTTGTTCTCCTCGGCTATGGCGTCGCAGAAAGCTCTATGAGTGATAAAGCTATCTCTCCTGTAATGCATGCATATATATAATTATCATAAATTGTATATATATGATCAGCATTTAACGTAAAGTAATACGCTTTTTTCTTTTTTTTTTCTATCTCTTTTGTTGAAACATGAATGATCAATGTTTTTTTTTTTTTTTTTTTTTATGGTGAAATAGATGATACATTATGCATGACATCGTCTATATTCTATAGGATGGATATAAGAACTGAAACAAAAATTTTGTAAGATGAATATCCGAGCTAAAAAAAAAAAAACTTAATTTAAAATGTTAGTTGAATAGTCAAAGTTGTACGACTGAGAAAAATCTTATTGAATTTGGAATATTCAAATCTCTCTACTATATATATAAAAAGAAAAACTACTTTAATATTGTATGGCTACTCTGGGAGTGATAGCAACTAATTGATCAGTTTGGTTATTAAAAAAAAAAATCAACCAAATTTTACAAGAGGAGAGAAATTAAATAATATACATCAATAAATAAATAACGCTTGAGTAATTTTACTATCAAAATTAAATAGTCAATATCACAAATTAAAAAAAATAATAATTTAGAAACATTCACTATATATAAAAACTTTTTTGTCCATGTATACATACTAAATAATAATCCTATCAATGTCACTTTCTTTTTCATTGTATCCTTTTCTTTGTACCATGTGAAATGGAATCCGCGTCTTGTACAATTCCACCTCATCTTAACCCATATAATTTGGTCTAGTTGTTATCGACTAAACCATATTAAATCATGTAAATATATGTTTTTAATCCAAATTCACTAACCAAGCTTAGATATTTATGAAAATATAAAATCAAATGACAAGAAATTTAATTAATTACCTGGAGAAAAGGGTTCCACACTCGCATTTATACTCTCTAGTGCCACAGGTCTTGGAATGTGCTTTCCAGTCGGACTGAACAGCATACTTCTTGGAGCATTTCTCACATTTCCACTTCTTCTCGCCATGCTTACGGCAGAAGTGCTTCTTGATGCCGGTCAGGTCTCCGAGCGCCCGCGCCGGGTTGTGGTGCACGCACGACGGCTCCGGGCAGATGTACACCCGCCTTCTGATGACCTCATTGCTGTTTCTTTGTTTCAGCTTCCATGGCAGATTGTGGCCTCGCCTGTGCAGCTGCAGATTCTGGTCTCTTTGGAATCCCTTGTTGCAGATTTCGCACACGAATCGGTTTCGGGCCAACAGGGTGTTTGGCGATAAGGCTACAACCTCGGCACTTGGATCTGCATTGTACAATATTAATGTTCAGCTTATATATAACCATTTTTTGGGGTTAAAAAGAATATTATTGGCATCATTTTTTTTTTCTATATTTTCTTCGTTTATAACAGAAATTTTGAGACCTACGTACCAATAGAAGGGGAATAAGTTTATCCAATTCTATTGAAAGAATGTGCTCAATTTTATTGTGACCACTATAAGTCCAGCGCCACATAGTCTATTAACCAATCCTTAAAATGTCATGAATTAATTAAGAAAAAAAAGACCTTGATGCAGTTTTTATTGTATTAATATTTATATGTATCTTTTGACTCTTGTCATTTTGTTATTTCAATGTGGATCTACTCCGAACTCCAGTACTCCTTCAATTTCGCACATCTTAAAGAAAGATTACACAATTTTTTTTTTTTTTTTTTATTTTTAAAGAAAGAAAGAAAAGAAAAGATCAATAGAAAAGGTTGAAACAAGATGCGAAAAAGCATTGGTAAAAAAAATGATAAAAAGAAAAACTAAAATCCTTAAAGCGCTTCCTCTAAAGTAACATGATAACATAGGGGACAAAATTCAAAGAGAAATTGATCGATCGATGACAAAAGAAAAAGTTTCGAACAATATGAAACAAAAATCAAAGGTGATGGGGAGAGAGAGTTTCCAACAAAAAAAAGAAAAAAAAAGAAAAAAAAAAGAGAGATATTCCATGGGCAAAGGAAAGTATGAATTATATTTGTGTTTTAAAACAGTTGAAAACAAAAAGAGATGAGAAAAGGAGAGAAGCGCTAGCAGCCTGGTCAAGCAAAAGGCAAACAGTTCACTGCAATTATTGGGTATTGCAATCCCAAGCCAATAATTGAAGCCCTCCTTTCAACTACTCGGGCATCAATAATTCAACGTTGTTTTTTAGGGAAATTTTTTATTTTTATTTTTGGTATGAGGAAAAAAAAAATTATCCCTCTCCTAAAAAGGGAAGAAAAACGAAATCTCAGAATTTTATTTTATTTTTTTAAAATTAATCTCTCTGATGATTTCTTCAAGTACCACTGAATCAAAATCATCAGCTGTCTGGCCTTCACGACCTTATGACTTTACGGTAGGCCCATCAACACGTACGTGAGATTAATTAAGCTTGGAATGAAGCTAAGAACTCAATTTGAATTGAAAAATTCTAAAGACTTTCCCTTTGTTTTTTTTTATTATTATAAACATTGCCCACGAGATCAAATATTCAATAATACACCTAATTCAAAGAATTAAAATTTAAATGCTAGGAATACATATTAAAAATTTAAACAATACCTCTATGTATAAAAAAAATAAAAAAATAAAAAACACTTTATTATGCTCAACTATTTATAAGCATAAAAAAATGGTAAACGCCAAGAATTCCCCAATAATCCCCCATTTCAAAGATCCATATTTTCAATAAGAAAATACAGGGAAAAAAACTAGCTAGCTAGGAATTCTGAAATGATCAAGTTTGCATATATACATACATATCTACATATATAGATACACACAAACAAATATGTGTGTGCATAGAGATATATAAAGAGCTGAGAGAAACAGAATTATAGTCTATATATATATATATATATATTTATATATATACCTGGGTTTCCTGGAGGGTTTCTTTTCTTCTTAACTGGGGGAGATTGATCAAGCACAAGCTGTTGAGTGGTAGAGCCATTGCTAAGAGTAGTTGTTGAAGATAAAGAGTTTGAAGCATGGAAATTCTCCACTCTCTCTTGTTTTCCAACAGAGACTTGTACTACATGATCAGTTTCTTCTTTAGCAGTAATATTATTATTCCCTGAAGATAAGCTCACACCCTCATGACCACCTGTGATGATTGACATTATATTGGAAGCAAGGAAAAGGATAAAAAATAAATAAATAGGTTGTATGTTTATATATGTATATTAATGAGACTTTTTGTACTCTTTCTTTCCCAACTTTCCCTAACCAAAACTCTAATTTGTTCCTTTCTCACTTGCTCTTGGTTTGCTAGCTAGGAAGAGAAAATATACATATATATATATATTTGTTTTATATATAAGATAAGAGAAGATTTTTAAGAAAAAAGAAACAGAAAAGATTGGTTTTAATTTGTTGTGGCCGGAGGAAGACAAAAACCCAGGAAATTCTCCTTCATTTATGGTGTGAAAGAGGAAGAGAGATTTTTTTTTTCCTCTCTTTTTTTTTTTTTTTTTTTTTTTTTTTAAAAAATGAAAAAAAAAACTTGTTTTTTTTTTTTTTTTCAGAAGATGAACACAAGAACTTGGTCTTACTTTGGCTTTGTATTGTAATGTGAACATTTATTATATATTGTCTATTTTAAGGGACTGTTGGATGTTGCTTTGTATGGATTACTAGAAATGCCCCTAGGACACTAGTGTTATAATGATAATGCCCCTCGGCTATCTTTTTTTTCCTTAACTAGGGACAATAGTTTTTTTCCCCATTTAAAGTAATATTACTAAGTGGAACCAAAATGATTAATATGCTAATAGTACCTAAAGTAATATTTTGAAATCATATTTATATATGCTAATATATAGTACCTGATTGATACTTATTTATGTAATTACTACTACTAATTAATGAATTTATTTTGCAAGAGCATGTATGGTGACCATTCAAAAATATCACTAAGTAATATGTAATTTAACAAATATTTCTCCAATTCAAATAATTTCCCATTTTACAGGAAAAAATAAAAAAAACAAAAAATAAAAATCGTGTCTTCACACTTTTGATCTGGATAGCAGGATTGGCAAATTCTTCTTTTAGGGATAGACCAATGTAAATGTCTCTCGAACCCTCCAAAAAGACTACCAATATTAATTAGTTAGAAGAATTCATCTTATAAGTTGTTAATGGTACAAATATTGGATACATCCAAGTGTTACATATTTAACTAAAAACTCTTATGGTTTAACGCAACACGAAAAAAATAAAACAAACAAAACAAAACAAAATAAAACGCTTACAACTAGAAATAAACACTTCCAAAATTGCTCCCTTATAATAAGGCATGTAAAAATAAGAATCATGTAGAATATGATAATCTAATGGAATCTAATAATTATTCCATTCAAAAAATGTATTTTATTGAAATGGTATTTTATAGTTCATTCGTTTAGTAGGTTTTGTATTTTCTCTCATAAAAATATTAAAATTTTGTTCAAATCTAAGAAGAAACGAAGAATTAGGCATAATTCACTTCACAGATTCGAATTTTTTATTTAAATTAAGATGTGATATTTTTTAAAAAAATTTTACTGTAATAAAAAAAATTAAATATAACATTTTATAAAAAATTTTTACTATAAAAACTTAAAACTGAACGCTACCGCGATTTTTCTAAAAAGTAAAACAAAATGTGGTTTAGGCAATTCTATTAATCTAGTACTTTCAGGGCCCTTTTTTATGACTAAATATTAATTTTTCCACAATTTGAATTTCTTTCAAACTTTGCTGCAAGAGGTCAGAGACCTGGGAGCCTTGCTCAGGATTTGTCGCTTTCTGAGGATATTTTAAATAAAAATGAAATTTCCCAGAATGCCCTCCCAGCCCAAAGAGGGGAAAAAGAAGAAATAAAAAGGTCCGAAATTACCATTTTGCCACTATACGTTTCAGCCGTCCTGAGAAACGAAATGACCAAATTACCATCGATCATCACGGGCGGGCTCTGACGCATTATCTTTCTCGAAAATGGCCCAACTGGGCACAGAAATTCTCCTATTCACGTGTACTTGGCTGTAAAATCCTAAACGGTCACTTGGTGAGGGGTAGTTTTGACATATCGCGTTGAAACCAAGTTCAAAGACAACGTGTCACCCGATTCTATTGAATTAAGAATTAAGATAGATAATTGCCGATTTATTAATAAGATAGAATTAGATAATTGCTGATTTATTAATAATCAATTTATTTTCTTGCAAGAGATAGCAGGCAGGCCTGCAACATACGCTATTTGCTGCCTATGCAAATGAATGTTTATCAAATTGCATAGATGACGTTATTTGTAGTCTTTTTAATTAGAAAATTTTCTTTGCAAAAATATGAAATAGTCTCTTTTTGATTAAGAGAAAAAAGAAACAATTATTCTTAGAGTGTATAGATTTAAAATTTTACTCTTTAATCTTGATGAATACATTTTTAGTCTAATAATTATATTAATTAAGAATAATGGTTAAAAATTCATAATCATGCATTTTAAGTGTAAGTTCGACAATTTTCTCTTTGATTAACAACTTAAGAGTTAGGGTTGATTTAATGATGTAAATATTGGAATATAGAAAGTGTCTTAATTAGTGGAACATGTATAATTGAGTAAGGAATATTAAAATGGAAGAGTTAATTAGGGTTGATTTAATGATGTAAGTATTGGAATATAGAAAGTATCTTAATTAGGGGAACATGTATAATTGAATAAGGAGTATTAAAATGGAAACTACAAATATATGCTCTTACTTTCCAGAAATAACACTAGTTCATAAATTACGATTGTTGTCAAAATTATGCATCCAAATGAAATTAACATTTTTGTGATTTCTTAATAATTAAAACATCACCCCACCCATCTCCTCAATTAATATATATCCTTTTATTCTTATTCACTTTCATGTTGTCTAATAATATTATGACACGTCACTTAAAATAGCATACCACATCAATTAAGAAGTCATATCAGTTAAAATATTTTAATTGATGTGTGAAATATGAAACAGGAGAAGCTAAACATATGAGTCCAGTCCTCAACATCTGAGGTGATGACTCTTAACCTTCAAGCAACCATTTGTGGCGCTTATCAAGAGAGACTCCAAATAACACAATTGCTTAGGTGAATATTTCGTCGTACACCATGTAACGATCCAACAAAGAGAATTCAGTGCGTGTCACGTTTCATGTTCCTCGTGTTTTCCACAAGAAAATCTGCGCTTCTTCATCTAAACGCCCAACTAATTAAGTAATAGGATAAGCATTGTCCATCCTATTTGCCCATCAGTGAGTTGGTGTGATTGGCCGTTCACTTCGCTGATTCGAGTTTAGAATTCGAGTTTTTCTACAGTAAAAAGCTCTCACAAACAATTACATCTAACTTTTTTGCTACAGTAAAAAGCTCTCACATAAAGTCACATCTCAACTCGAATTCTAAACTCGAATCAGCGAAGTGAACGGGGCCTGAGTAAACCTGACGATAACGTATCAGATTCAGAGAAAATCTATGTAAATTCATTAACATATATACGTACATTATAGCATTATAAAATCTACGTAAATTCATTGCCATAGATACGTACATTATAGCATTATAAAATCTACGTAAAAGTCAATACCCACATTAAGGCATTATAGAAGCTCTATTTTACAGTAACTTTCTAACTCAAGCATCAGAGTCCCATTGAGTGAGAACATATATAAGTACGGGGTACCTTGATCTTACTCTTCTTTAAGCTTTAGAACATCTTCAATGTTGTCAATGCAATATTTGATACTAATTAAGGAATGTGAAAATGGTTTACTTCATAAATTATTTTATTTCGTCCTCCAACTAATAATTCTATTTCGTCCTCCAACTTATAATTCTATTTCATATGTTTTATCTACTTCTGTCATAATTATTAGTTTTGGAACTTGTAAAGATAAACTTTTATTTTTGAAATAATTTTTAAATAACAATGTTGCAGTAATTAAATCAAATATTAGTCAGTATGTCAACCAATTAACTGCAGCAATCAAATATTAAAACTTGACATGTGTTATATTTGATATTCAAATATGACACCACATAAAACATATATCAAATTTAGCATAAAAAAGCACTATTTTTTTTTATTTAAATGTTAAAATTTGACATTGACATACTATTTAATATTATATCGGAATTACTCTTACATGCAGGTTCTCACGCATTAACACGTATAGTTTCTCTAAAAAGGAGGTAAAAAAAAAAAAAAACCATTACGCACGATGTAAATATTATTATTTTAGGGGACAATGATGTCAATCAAAAAATATATTGAATGCGAATGCAATTGCAAGTGGGCGCAACCAATTTTTATTTCTTAGGGACCCATCTGACATTGCATTTGCATGCAATTGCACTGACCGGCCTTATAATATGGTTGAATATTGAAATGTGTACATACATATATCTATATAGACATAATATAAATATAGGTGTGCATATATTTGACCGGCCACTTCAGAAGAACAAGATTCCTTCTTTTATTTGAAAATTTTAGAACCACTTTTCTATCATTTATAAATATATTCCAACAACTAATATTACATCAACTTAAGAAGAGCTATTAATAATCAAGGCCAAAATAAATTATTGCAATTTATCCACAGAAGAAGTTTATAAATTATTCAGTTAGTCAATCCCATCTTAAAGGTTAGGATATTAATTATAATAACTTATCCACTCATACATTTCATATATCATATTACCTGTGGTGATAATAATATTTTTTTATGCCAAAAGTTATTTTACTTCTCGTATAACATTTCAGATCATATTAAAATGCCATTTATTTCTTTTTTTCCTTTTTAAACTTGGAATATTGATTGTATTCCTCTAATTTTTGTGTGGTCTATGCATAATTAATATATAAAGTTTGTGAGGTCAAATATATATATATATATATATAAGGATTATGTTACACGAGAAATATGCATCATATGTATGTTTGGATATATAACGAGAGAAAGATATATCTCAGCATCAAAGTCAAGGGACGCATGCTTAGAACTATATGTATGTAAAAAGTTTCTTAGTTCGGCATTAATTGAGGCATGAGAGAAAAGAAAAGAAAAAAAGAGGAGAGATATTCTAATTCGATATTGAAATTAAGCGACAATTACATTTTATAGGACGACATACATTGAGAAAAAGTCAAACTGAGCAGCCACACATACGTTATAGTAAT